GGGAGTTGAAGTCCACCAGTCATAAAAGAGCCAAGGTTGTCTATTCCTGATATAGGGTGCCATGCTGGCAGAGGGATTCTGGGAGTTGAAATCCCTTTATCTTCCTAGTAACTCAGGGGTAGGCAATCTTGGCTCTTTTATGACTGGTGGACTTCAACTCCCAGAATTCCTGAGCCAGCCATGCTGAGGGGAAAGGGAGGAGTTCCAAGCTGAGCCATGCTGGCTCAGGAATTCTGGGAGTTGAAGTCCACCAGTCATAAAAGAGCCAAGGTGGCCTACCCTTGAACTAGGTAATATCATCAGTGCTGTGGGGGGGATTGCAGAGTGGAGGAGGAGGGGGAAGAGGAGGAGAATTGTGGGGTCCTTAGTGTTCTCTGAGCTTGGCTGATTTCAATTACCAAGCTAGGTAACATCTTCAGTACTACAGGGAGTGGGGTTTGCAGAGTTGTAGAGGAGGACGATTTGGGGGTCTTTGGCACTCTTTGAGCTTGATTGTTTCCTTGCAGACATTTTGTGACCTAGCTAGCTGATATTAACGACAGAAGGAGTGGGCCTTGCTCTCTGTTTATATACAGTAAACTGGTTTGCCCGGCAGTGTCGTTGGGAATGTGCTTTTTCCCCCCTCTTTGTATTTCCTTGGTTAGAGTATTGTTTTTTTCCTCCATTGATGTCTAGGGTTAATCCCTGCTTATCTGGGTTTCTCTTACTGTGCAGTCCTTGGTGCTCTCTGAGCTTGGTGGTTTTTCTTGCAGAGGTTTCATGACCCAACTAGGGAACGTCAGGAAGAGGAGGAGGATACCCCAAAGGTGCTTTTTCCACGAGGCAACTGGACTTTCTTGTTTTTCTTTTGAACAAGTTTTGCTTCTCATCCAAGAAGCTTCTTCAGCTCTGACTGGATTAGGGGGGGGGGAATGGAAGGGTTTATACTCCTTGCAGACAGCTGGTCATTTGCCTTCTTTTAGAGGGTCGTTGAGGCCACTTGGAGGTTGACTTGTGTCCTCAGGATCACCTGAGTGGTGCAAATGGGTGTGGAGCCTTCTTGGAACTGCTGAAAGGACCTTGTTCCAACAGTTCCAAGAAGGTTCCACACACACCTTTGCACCACTCAGGTGACCCTGATCACACAGATAAGCCTCCAGGTGGTCTTAACAACTCTGTAAAAGAATGCAAATGTCCATCTGCAAGGAGTATAAATCCTTCCTTTCCCCTCCATCCAGTCAGAGCTGAAGAAGCTTCTTGGATGAGAAGCAAAACATC